TGAAAGTGATATAGGAAATGATGGAAGAGATGATATGGGTGATGATGATGACGGTGATTGGAATAACGATGATGACGGAAAAGATTACGACAAACCGTCAATAAAAGGTATTCTTACTATATAATTTCCTTTTTATATGCCTTTATCAATAATTTCCATTATTATTTATCTGGTCTCATTTCATGCTTGTGATTATGCATATTTTATTTGGTGGGAGGGAATAGGCTGATATGTCAAAAAGCTTGCATTTCCAAATGAAAAGAAAAAATATTGAGATATTTGGAGTGAGGTATAAGGGGTTGACTCCACCACTCATGACTCACTATACTGCATTCTCTGCGTGCAAAAATTGTATACCAACATGAATCTAACTGGATTATTGTATTAAATCTATCTGTCACTTTCTTCATTTATAAAGTGACAAATTTTCCTTTGTCAACTTGAACCGAATATTTCCTATCAACTTGAAATATAGATATTCAAATTCATTTGGATGACATTGACCCACCCTAAGGATTACCTACTCTCGGTTTCGTTAAATGGCAATGTTGAACAATTCTTTTAATCTCAGTTGGCTAAGATATGCATGTGGTGGAGATCTATGTTGGAATCATGCATGCCTTAATCTGTATTTCTTGGCTTTAGTTTGGATTTCTGGTTTTTGTGATGATAGTGGACAAATTTACGCAAGTCCTAAAGAAAGTTCTATCTGCGTTATGTTGTTGTCCCAACTCCCAACCCCACTTTCAGTTGGGATGTCTTTTGTTGTTTTACTTCACCCAGCCACCCCTTCTAAACCCAGAACATCAGCAGAAAGTTTGTGCTGGAAGCCATGCTTTTGTACTTGCTTCGCCACTAGCCTGATAAAACTAGTGAATAGTTCAGCTCATTCCCTCTATATCGTCAGACAAGCTGATTTATACTCATCTGCAACCCAAGTAAATTTGATTGAAAAGGTTGTACTCAAAATTTAGAAAAGGGAAAATTATTGGAAAAAGTTTATGGATTTGTAAAAACTAGAGTTTAACTCCTTTAAAATGAGTAAATATGTGAAGTGAGAAAGAAACAGTGAATCCAAAAAACCATACCCCTAATCTTGTTAACTCATCATTTTTCTTACTAAATGTCATTTCTCTCTCCAAAATAGGTGGACAAAAGGGGAAAAAGGGAAAATATGCACATACATATCCATTAAGATGTGAATTCCAATATTATATATGGCGTTTGTTTGTAAATGTTGTAATGCCTTTGCTTTTGAAACTTCGGCTTTCTCCAGATATAAAACATGGATACAATGTGCAGCTTGCGGAAGAAGAACCGTGACTTTGACATGGTAATCCTTGCATTTGGTGCAATTGTTCTCCAGCACGGATGAATCAGGGTTGGCTCTTGTGACTATTCTGACTCTACATGCTTGTGAGTTTTAAAAGGGAAAAGTCTAAGTTGCTTATTGTAAGTGGCGAGTTGAAAGTGATGAGAGTTTTTGGTCTTCCTATTTGAGGTTGAGATTTATTTTATATAATATAAAGTTTTCCGTGTTCCATATTTGTTCTCCCCCATTTTTCTTGTCAAGTGTAAAAATTGAAGATTTCAAGTTTGGAGAACTGCATAGCATTTGGAGGATGTGAAGTTTTTTTTCTTCTTGGGAAGTTTGTGTATATAAACCCTTTGTGCTTAAGTTTTCCGTTATTTTCCCATTCTTATTCCGACTGTAGTTTGCCTGATTAGTTGGGGCCACGTCACATTTTCTCTTTTCAGCCTTTCAGATGAATTGGTCGAGCACACGATTTAATTAATTTAATTTTAAATAATTACAATTCAATTTCTTTTAATTGAAAAAGTTTTTTTTAAATAAAGTAATTCAAACATGTCTTAAATGAGTAATGATTTACTGAATATATTAAGAATTACATATACGTTTAGTAAGTTATTAACATTTGATTAGATTATATTTTTTTAATCTTTATAAAATGTTATCATTTGATTAAAATTTATTTTTTGTAGTCTTTATATTTATAAAATTAATGTTTAGTCCTTTGTCAAAATTAAAAGTGCATATTTTTTAATATTTTATAAAGATTAAAAATAAATAAAATGTAATTAAAAACTAAATTAAAATTTAATGATTTCGTAAGGATTAAAAAAAAGTCTACCAATATGGAGTAATAGTTGCATGCGGTGTCTATAAAGTTGTCTATTAATTCTATTCGAGTTGAAATTATTATAATATATATGTGTGTATATATTTATAAAGTACTGTTTAGTAAAAAATTACTTGATTGACGCTACTTAATGACGTTTTGTTGTTCCTGTTGTTGCCATCTCCCGTTCGAAGTTTCCCTATTCAATTGTACAATTCCTTCCCCGCAGAAATTATTGACGATTCTAAATACAATATTCTTCAAAAAGTTTTAAAGTAATTATTTAAATAATTTTTTAATTATATAAATATTCTTATAAAATGAAAATCCATTAAAACATTTTATTAAAATATTTAAGTGATATATCAATAAATATAAAAATAGAAAAAAAATATGCGATGTAATATCATTACATAAATTAAGAAAAAAGTATGCAAGTTCAAAAAAATGGTGGATACTGATAAAATTTTATTATACTTTAGGAGATATATGTGTAATTTGTCATATTTTTAAAGTAATCATAATTTAAAATAAAAAAATGTTTTAAGGTAAGAAAGAGGAGATGAAAATAAATTAGCAAAATGGTTGGGGGTGGTGCATGCTTGCCAAGTGGCATTTTGTGGAGGGATATATCTCATATCTGTACTGAGAGCCCATACACTGCTTTTTCCCATTTTCTCTTTTTGCCATATCTCAAACTCCTCACGCAATCGGTGAGAAATAAGAACTTTGCACTCTCTAACTTACAACACCTGATATTCAAGATTTAATATAGTGACTTTAGGTCAAGATTGATTTAAAAATAAAATAACAAAAATTCATATAAGTTTAGTATATTTGTGGTTTAACTCAATTCAATGAATATAAATAACTGGATTGAACCGAATTATTATTTTTTCTTTCATTTTTAGTCAACAAATTTTATCATAAGTTAAAATTAACCGATACACTTCATAATTTAAAAATATTAGTTATTATTTTTAAATAACATAACATAAGTTAATATTATCTTATAATTTTTATGTATTTATTATATTATATTATATTTTCTTACTACTTACAAGTACTTCTACATACTAACCTTACATGTCTTTAAATATTTGTTAAATTTTAAAATATCTTTAACTATTTTCACCGTTTTGAAATGTAATTTAATTATTTTTTTTTCAAACTCTAAAGATATATAATTAGTAGGACTTTTTTAAAGTAGCTAAAGTTTAATTCGCAATATAATTATTATTTTTATTTATACTTCAGCAATATTTTTTTATAAAATTAATGAATAAATGATTTTTATAACACTATTTCTAATAATTAACATGTATGATAAGAGATTAAGATGAGTAGTATAATAAAAAATAAATAATTTATTTTTGTATAATTTAAAATATTAAATTCTTAAAATTATTGTGCACAATTTTAAAGGTTTAAAGAAAAGAAAATGAAAAAAAGAATTTAAGAAGTATGACTTTTTCAATATATATTATCATGTTAATTTGTGATAACTTGTTAACGGTGCACTAAATTTATTTTTTCATTTATTATCATAATCACTGTGAAATGCACAGTTGCAATGTCGTTGAATTGAATGCCTTGGGTGGTTATTTCTACCAATCAATGTCCCAAAAGTGTTCCATCCATCCATAAATTCTTTAGGTAAGATTACTGTTTTTTTTCTTTTTTTCTTTCTCTTTGTTTTACAAAGTTTGTTCTTCTTCCGTCCTATTAACTACAACTAACGGTCCAACCGTGAAAATAAATGATAATTAAAGGTATTAGTAAAATTAAAAAAGTAAAATATTTTAAAAACATTTCTAAATACTCAAATGTTTTTTTATTTTAATATATTATAATTATAATATTAATTATTTTTAAGCAAGAGAGATGTTAAAGTTAAAAATAACTATACTTAAATCCCATATTTTAATGGTAAGAGAGTTAAGGGAAGGAGTCTTAGTAATGAACAAAATATCATAATACAACTTTAAATTTTTAAAGTGATAAGCTCATAGATTTATTTTTTTATAAACTTTTAACTTGTTTATATCTTATTTTATGTAAAATTTAATTTACATTTAATTTTAACGTATTTAATTATAATTTAAATTATATTTGTATAATTTTTTTTAATTTGAATAGGTCAATTAAATTATATTTTTAATATACTATCTATAAATTATAACGTAAAAATATTATAACACGAAGTATACTGATAATAATGTGAAAAATAAAAATATTTATTATTTATTATATAGAAATAATTAATATTGTATTTGAATAAAATTATTTCCATTGTTTATACACAATTACACGATTCTTATTAGTTGTTTATTTTTTTAATGTTTTCTTCTATTTACATGTTGTGATAATTGTATATATAATATTTAGAACTTGATTAAATCTCTGATTGACGGACTCAACTATTTATGTGAAAAATTGTTCCTATACTACAAAGGCTAATTCCAATCTTACTTGTCTTCAACTTTTATTTGTTTAAATTAAATGAATAAATGCACATTTTCTTACTTAATTTAGAGACAAATCCTCTTTAGTCTTTTTCTTTACTTAAGTTAGTTAGACACATTTTCTGAATGTTTGTTAGAGTTTTGAATAAGTGAATTAGGTACAGAATTTTAATATGCTACACACACTTATATATATATAAATGCTTATTGATTATAATAATTACAAAAGTGAAACATTTTTTGTTTTTTGGGTCATGGAAGTACACACATTATGAACAATTGTTGATTCGTAATTTCCCGAACGGGACCGGATTATACAAAACCATCCATGCGGAACACGTTATTGTCTTGCCCTTCACACTAATCTCTACCAATTCTTTCTCCTCTTCTCTTCTCTTCGGTTCGGTTTTACCTTGGTGCGTCTTTTTGTCATAGGCATGTTAGTATTTTTATTATTGACTTGATATGTACAATTTGCACGCAACCAAACACCTCACCTCTAAAACTTGCTTTTCCATTCAACACCGTTAACTCTCTCGTTGGTGCCAAGCTCAATTTCTGCAATCGTTTGTTCCCAGCTTCAGGCACCGAATGAGAATTAATTTATCAATTATGTATTACCTTTGTTTGGCTTCGATTCGTTGTGAGTGAAAAATAGTTTCTCTGTTGTTTATTTCTGTTATGATAAGAACTGTGATGATCGATGAAATTATTGCAGAATCTGACTCGTTATTCTGATCGCTGCTAAGGACTGGAACAATCGAGATGCTTATTGTTATTGAACTAGAATATTCTATTTTTTAGCGAATATGCTCTCTTACGAAGCGTTAGACGCTTTGGATTGGAGGAGCGTGCTGAACATTTTCGACCTTGAAGGTTAGTCACCGTTAGGGGTTTTACACTTTTGGGATCTACTATCAACAAATGGAGAGTTTTAGGATAATCCATGTAGTATTTTGACTTTTAAGTAAATCTGTTTGCATATAGTTTAATTTCTTAATTACACTTAAATGAGTAATCTCTAATTTAAAAAAAAAAAAAAAAAACTACTAGTTGCAAGGCTGTGATTCTTTAATTATGCTTTTGATGTGATGAGGTCATTGTTTATTACCTTGAACTGAAGCACTGTGTGAACATGATGTATTTGACATGTATGTGGAAACCTCTTTAATGTGAGTGAAGGAACATGGTTCACCAAAAGCATGCCATTTTGCCTCTAGATTTCTGATTCATGTAGTTCCAGTCGCTGATCTGTCATTTTTCTGTGGATTTAATTTCGGGTAGATTTTATTGCTCCTGAAGGTATAAATAGCAACTGCGACGCTTATATTTGTTGGTAAGAGAGAGGTTGATTTGCTATCATGTCTTCCCTTCAACTGTACCAACTAACTCAGCATGGCCGGAGTTTTCTGGCTTCAAGGAGGTATATTAACTTTTTCTCTAGATGTGTTTGGTGACGAGTGAGTTCATCCTGACTTTGATTTTGACTTGCAACTTCATTTGTTTGCCTATTGATCTACGTCAAGTTTATGCTTTTATCATTTGTTTTTTCCCATTCATTTTTATGCCTCTATAAATAAAAGTTTTATGCCCAAGGAGATATTTGATCACAATCTCATAATCAGAAATATGTGATGCTCAAAGCTCAAAATTTTGGTCTAACAAAAATTTGCTCAGAACAACACGTTTGATAAAAAAAAAACACTAAATATATGGGATGAGATAGTGTTTATGCTGCATCCAAATCCTGTGTTGGGATCTCATGACTTCTTATTCTAATCTGTCTAAGTTTTTTAGAACTGATACCTATTAAGTATTGTAGAACTGGTAATTATCCAGAATTTTCATTATAAGTAAAATGGTTGATTCTTAAACTTACATTCTTTGAGTATGATTTTCCACATGAAACATATACTTAAAAGCTTATCATTAGAGTAAATATGGATCAGAAGTGCAACAAAACTTGTCCTTGTAGAACTATTTGGTAAGGAATTTCTTTGTTGATCTTAGAATTTATTCTCGAAGGTTCTGGTTTTTGAAGACACCTGTGAGGAGAGTGGATGACATAACTTTTAGTTTGGTGAAAAAAAGGATAGAGAGAGACTCAAAATAACCATAGAAGAAGTTATTAAAAGAAATCTATTGCTTAATAACATTACCTAGTAGGATAAGACTTAGTTTATTGTTATAGTTGTTTTGGTTTTTGAAGGACAATGTATGTTCTGGTGGACTGTTTTCACATGAAATATTGATGCATTCTTCTTGAGTTTAACATTGATTTCATCTTTTTATTGAATAACTATTTTTGTACTTTGGTTATAGCCTTCTGTTCTCATATTGGTAGTAGTATCTTGTATTGCGTCATGCACACTATTTTGTTTGCTGAATGGCATTAATAAAATCGTTGGAATGTTGAACTAGTTTTTCATATTATTTATAACCTTATTGATCCATTGTCCATTGGGATTATGTCAGAAAAACTTTACTACTAGCAACTGGTATCTTAGTTGCTGGTGGAACTGCTGCATATGTACAGTCAAGGTCTAGAGTTAATAAACATGATTTCTTAGCACATTCCAATGAGCACAATAACGAAAAAGAACTCACAAAGGAGGAGGTTAGGAGAGCAACTTCTGCACCGCCAAATAAACAAAAGAAAGGAGGGTTGAAATCACTTCAAGTCCTTGCTGCAATTCTTCTATCTGAGATGGGTCAATTAGGTGCAAGGAACCTTTTAGCTTTAGTTTCTATAGTGGTAAGTCTATTTTGTTTTGGATTATTATTTTTATGCTTATCTTCAATATTTCAATGCACAATAAGGCACTATGTATTCATATATTTGACGTGATATTTCACTCTCTCAACTTATCTTTGAATTTAAGGAGTCAATGCTGTACTATGTAAAGCATCATTTGTGAACATTTCATGTATACCACTATGCACATGAAATATATTGATCAAAATTATTTTTTTTGGTCCTGCCTGTCATTCAATTTTTTGGGATAGGAATTTGAACTTTCCTGTGATGTATGCCTTGAGTCAGCAGATGCAATTATCCTGCTGGTATGTATCATCAGGAGGAATTGAACTCTTCTGCATTGTGTATATACTAAAATTCTATACCAGTTGGACTTACAACTGTGACTGCAGTTAAAATTCTGTATGTTTTTTTTTTTTTTTTCCTTATCCACTATATGATTGCATATGAGGATTTTCTTCACCAAATAGCATGTTTGGCTTCCTTGTGAGAAGTTTAACAAGCTTCAAAGAGTAGTTTGTGTTTAGACATAGCAGTCATATTTTAAGGTTATAACTAAAATCTGACAAAAAAATTATATGACCATACACTAGAGTAAGGACATTGCTTTGGAAAGTAGACATATGCCAGATAATATGCTCATGAATTGACAAAGACAGCTTGAGAGTTATTTAGGTGTTTTCCCCCTCTTTGAAGGGGACACAAACAGCCAAACTGTGAAGCCTAGAATCTAGATACCCCAAAACTCGCAAAGTACCAATATTGTATGGATATCCAACACCAATATGCATATGATGTGCCTAGATTCACATCCATTGAGTTTCCCCTCATTTTTATAAAAGTGGCTGATACACTTGGGATATGATTTAACTTGACTGAAAATGATTTAACCATTCAAAATATGATTTTTTTAATAAAAAAAAATAATACAATTGTGTTTCAACATAAACATGACATATTATCAGGATATATGCAATTTTTGTGACATGTTTATAGGGGAAAGAATTTATTTTTATACAAGCAGGGGAAAAATATGTAACAACATTATTTTTTGTTATGGTTACAAATATCTTTTTGTAAATTGTGATAATCATCTACTCATATGATTATGTATTAATGAGAGATGATCAATTTCTCTTTACATACCATATGAGTATTATCTACTCATATGGTTATGCCTCACTTGTTCTTGTAAATAGGTTTCAAAGTGCTTCTTATCCACTCATTTGGCATTTTCTTAGACTTTATTATTTCATAAGGCAAGTAATATCTTTCTCCCCTAAACAATTGTAAACTTTTTAAAAAACTATTTCTAAACTTCAAGTGGTACTTATATATTTTGGTTGAATTGCTTTACCAAAGTCCATCTTCTTTAAACTCTCCTAGGACTCGAATAACTTGTAGAAATAACCAATCCATCTTTTCTTCATTTGTTGCTCAATCAGCAAAACTTTTACTTCTTTTTTCTTAATGTATTTCACTTGGTCTAAATCTCTTTTTTTCTTTTCTCTTCCCACAGTAAGCTAGTAAACATGTCTTTCCCTATTTGGTGCATAAAGATTGTCACAAAAAGTTTGGCTTTTGCCTTGCAAACTGCCTTTTAGTATCTTTGCTTGCTACTTGATACCTTTCCCAATATTCAGTACTTATTCAAAGGTCCAATGCATAGAAGGTAAAATAGAAGTCTTGTATAGTAGAAAGTCTTATCTTTTTTATCCTAAGTAGCTTGAAGTTTTGGATAAGACTATAGCTATGGTCTTGGTTCTGATCTTAAATATATTTTGACTTTATTATTGTGTATGCTTATACAAGTTTGCAAAGACATATAAAAAAATTGCATAAGAATGCAACTTATACTTGCATACCTGAAGGAATTCAATTGCTTGGAGTTCAATGTACAAACACATATAGTTGTTTAAGCAAATTAAATTGAAGAAAAAAATGAAAAAAAATTACTCAAATATCAAACTGCAGCAGACTGTTCAAGTTTATATGAAAACAAAGGTAAGAATATCAGACAAGCAAATGTGTTGGTTGACTCACCAGAAATATATAATAATGATATTTAAGCAATAATTTTTAATATTTGATGTATTTGCAGGTGCTGCGAACCACTTTGAGCAACAGACTGGCCAAAGTGCAAGGCTTCCTATTTCGTGCTGCTTTTCTTCGACGTGTTCCTTTGTTTTTTCGGCTAATTTCAGAAAATATTCTTTTGTGTTTCCTCTTATCAACTATACAGTCTACATCAAAGTACATTACTGGGACTTTGAGTCTGCACTTCCGGAAAATACTGACTAAACTTATCCATTCTCACTATTTTGAGGTAGATATTATTGAATTGTTTGTAAAAGCTATCTATATTTGGTTGTCTGTATTGAGCGTTTGCTCCATTTGTGCATTCATCTTGTCATATGAAATTTGAGAACTAAAATCCTTCTCAAGTTTGTTGTTTTTACCTGTTTACAAGTCTAGTATGTTTTTCTTCTTTATTTGAAAGGTATGAAAATTCAATGTGCTGCTTAAAGATGACAGTAGTTTTTGTGTTACAGACTCAATCTGCTGGGCACATGGCTTTAAACTTATTAATAATTAATAAAATCAGGAAAAGGGCTCTTCTGGTTCAATTGTTCTTGCTTTGGGGTCCTGGACTGGTCCTGACCAGACCATTCCATATTGTTTTCTACATCTTCTTGCATTGGGTAGAAGTTACTCCAGAAGGTTTGAAAGAAAAAATACTAAACAATCCCTACAGTTGCTTTGAACTACTATTCTATCTTTTCCCAAAATAAAAATAATCATCCCGAATTGAATCGATTCTTTTAAATTGGAAGCATGCCAATTACCATCCCATGCACAAATGCACATATATTTATGTGGGATTTCTGTTTATCGTTTACTTTGATTTCAGAATATGGTGTATTACAAAATATCACATGTCGATGGTCGAATAACTAATCCAGAGCAAAGAATTGCCAGTGATGTGCCTAGGTTCTGTTCAGAGTTGAGTGAGATTGTACAGGATGATTTAACTGCGGTGACTGATGGACTGTTATACACTTGGCGGCTGTGTTCATATGCAAGCCCAAAATATGTCTTTTGGATACTGGTAACTCTGTATTGCACTGTACTGTTTCAAATGTTTCTCAGTGGCAGCCACTGTTCTTTTTTTGAGTTCTTACCTGTTTGATCTAGTACTAAATTCAGAGGCTGTCTTTTCAATATCTATTGTTTCCTTTGCAGGCTTACGTACTTGGAGCTGGGGCTGCTATTAGAAACTTCTCTCCTTCTTTTGGTAAGCTTATGTCCAGAGAGCAGGAATTGGAAGGAGATTATCGACAGCTTCACTCACGATTACGGACTCACTCAGAAAGTATAGCATTTTATGGTGGAGAGAGGAGAGAAGAAGCTCACATTCAGCAGAAATTTAGGACCTTGGTTAGACACATGAATAGAGTGCTACATGACCATTGGTGGTTTGGCATGATTCAGGATTTTTTATTGAAGTACCTTGGTGCCACTGTTGCTGTTATTTTGATCATTGAACCTTTCTTTTCTGGCCATCTAAGGCCTGACAGTTCAACTTTAGGGCGTGCAGAGATGCTAAGCAATTTAAGATATCATACTAGTGTCATTATTTCCCTATTTCAGTCTCTAGGAACTCTTTCTATCAGTGCAAGACGGCTCAATCGACTCAGGTATATTTGATCTGTCATTTGTCTCCTTAGAAGTTGCTATTAGAGGATTTTATTTGCTAGGAGGCTTGTATGCTATTCCTTTCAAAGGTTCATTTTATTTGCATACATCTTTTTAGTTATCTGCTTGTTTTACAGTGGTTATGCTGATCGCATTCATGAGTTAATGGCCATATCAAGAGAGCTAAGCCTGGAGAATGAGAAATCTTCATTGCAAAGACAAGGAAGTAGAAATTGCATAAGTGAAGCTAATCATGTTGGATTCTATGGTGTCAAGGCTAGTGATTTCTGCTGAACTATCAATGAACCTTATGTGTTTTTCATTTTTTGATTGTGATGTTGCTCCCAAAATGCAGGTTGTGACCCCCACTGGTAATGTATTAGTGGATGATCTGACTCTTAAGGTTGAGACAGGATCAAATCTTTTGATTACAGGTAATCATCAATGTAACCAACAATTTTTAAGCTAAAAAATAATTGAAAACTTATAGAATTGTTTATTGCCATGTTGATCATTGGTTTAATTAAGGTGATTTCTTTCATGAGCGTTGTTTATTTCTAATCTTTAGTAAAGATTTTTGCACTAATAATTGATTTTGTGTATCAATCAAATAGAGTTAAATAATAATTGTAATTCTTGAATTTGGGTTGAACTTAATTCAGTATCAAAAGCTAGCTTGTGAGATGAGAATTGCCTAAGCTTTTATAAGCTTTATTTTTACCACATGGGTGTTCAATTTCACTTCCTCTAGTTGATGCATCTTGTAGTAATTTTATTGAATCAGCTCAACCTCTCAAACTGTGTTCTGTTTCACACAGTTTGAGCAATTTACTAATTCTAATAAGTGTGGACTAACACAAATTCTAACGTGTTTAGAGAAATAACACTAATGCCAAAATTGTAAATAATTTCACTGTTCACTCATGGTTGGTCATTATGCTCTGATGAGCTTATGGATTTGAAGGGGATGGAAATTTAGATGTTTTGGAAATTGATTTAATAGACCAAATTTGTTATGATACTTATTGTTTGTGTTCCATTTGACAATCTGAAAGTTTTATGTTTCACTCGGATAATTGGATTTTAAAATAAGATTTCTTAGGATTCATTGTTTTTGACATGGCATTCACAATTATTTTGCTGAAGGTCCAAATGGCAGTGGGAAGAGCTCATTATTCCGGGTTTTAGGTGGTCTTTGGCCTTTGGTTTCTGGACATATTGTGAAACCTGGAGTTGGGTCTGATCTTAATAAGGAAATCTTTTATGTGCCACAAAGACCATATACTGCTGTAGGAACACTTCGTGATCAATTAATTTACCCTCTTACTGCAGATCAAGAGGTTGACCCACTTACAGATAGTGGGATGGTGGAGCTATTGAAAAATGTGAAACTCTCATCTAGTCCTACTTCTTTCTCAATGCCACAATAATATTTAGTATATGATAATTATGTGCTATTTTTCATTATCATTGTTATTCATATGAATTGTTTGTACGTGTATTCAAGGTTGACCTTGAGTATCTGTTGGATCGATACCCGCCTGAAAAAGAGGTAAACTGGGGTGATGAACTTTCATTGGGGGAGCAACAAAGATTAGGCATGGCTAGACTTTTCTACCATAAACCTAAGTTTGCCATTCTTGATGAGTGCACTAGTGCTGTCACCACTGATATGGAAGAACGGTTTTGTGCTAAAGTTCGGGCCATGGGAACATCATGCATTACAATATCACATCGTCCAGCTTTAGTTGCATTCCATGATGTGGTTTTGTCCTTGGATGGTGAGGGAGGGTGGAGTGTTCATTATAGAAGGTTGGGATCTTTACCATACTCACTTATTATCATTGTTCTACTTTGATGCTGTTATTATATATAAGTTCAACCTTAAACTCCAGGGAGGACTCTTCTACTGAATTGGGAATTGATACAATGAAGGTATCAGATACAAAACGACAGAGTGATGCAAAGGCAGTTCAAAGGGCATTTGCCATGAATAGAAAGGTTTGGATATTTTCCAGATTCTTGTTTTTGTGGTGTATTCATTGTTCATTATCTTATATTGATAATAAAAAATTCCCTTTCTTTTTTTGTTCTTGTTTTCCCTAGGATTCTGCATTCTCAAATTCAAAGGCACAATTGTATGTGACAAAAGTGCTAGCATCATCTCCATCTATGAAGCATACTATTTCACCATCTGCTGTTCCCCAACTTCGCGGTAATACAAGGGCACTGCCAATGAGAGTAGCTGCTATGTGCAAAGTATTGGTAAGCATCTTCTGTATGCGCTTATTATCTTATAAAGTTTTTACTTTAATAAATTCTTTTAGTGAGCAAATAATTTGGGGAAGTTGTTAACAAGTGGCTTCAATACCCAGAGAAAAAGGGGTGTGGGGGGAGGGGGGGGGGGCGTGGGGGATGTAATTCAATTTCATAAAGTGAAGCAACTGTATTCCATGAAATGGCCTATTGACTTCGAAATCTGATTTTAGCTTGTTGAGGCATTATTGTTGAAGACCAACTCTTCCAAAAGATTTTTTGAGCTGATGGGTGGAAGTCCATAATGATTTATATCTAAACATAAGGATGCACCCTCCTCATGCAGGATCCCTGATAGGCTTGAAGCTAGAAAATGTCCATGCCCTCATTTATCTTATACAACAACAATAAAGTCTTATCCCACTAGATGAGAATTCAATCACTGGGTTATTGTTGGAAGATATTAAGGTTATTACTCTTATAGTTAACGAGAATAGGCTTGTACTAGTAATACTTAACCTAATTATTTGTATAAATGAAAGCATTAGGTTTGGGCATTGCAATGTCTTACTCTCAATCTTGTAATACTTGTTCTTACCCTAGAAGAACTTTTGAGAAAACTATTAAAAGAGATCAAGCGATAAATTTCATAGAATTAGATTTTTAATTGAACTCAATATCTAGTATGATAAGACTCGGTTGTTGTTATTGTTGTATTCTCTATTGCCTTTTCCCCATCCATACTATAAAGTAATTAGAAAGGGTTTGATACTATATCAAAGGTTAACTCTCCCAAAAGCCTAAGTGTTTGGTGTAGGGTCATTAATGGTTTATATTTCTAACAAAATTTAATTGTACCAATTTGAACAAGTTGATATTGTTAAGATTTCTGTAGTCTTTAAGCTTTTATTTCTGTGGTGCATCTGCAATCAAGTGCCATAACCTGGCAAAACAGAGGAAACTACACTGTTATTCGTGCATTATCTCCTTAAAAGGATGTTGGCTTACATTTCTATGATGTATTTTGGTGATGCATATGTACTCAAGTATCTCTAGTATGGTGAAACAAATGAAACTATGTGGTCATTAGTGCTATCTCCTTGATGACCTACTACGAGCCAACATCCATATAAAGGACTTGTTGTGCACGTTAGTTACTCAATAAATACAATAGATCTCAGGTGCATTTTGTTTATGTATACTGCATGCTTCAGGTGCCCACCGTATTTGATAAACAAGGAGCACGACTACTTGCTGTTGCTGTTCTTGTTGTTTCAAGAACATGGGTCTCAGATCGTATTGCATCACTAAATGGTATTTTCCTTTCTTTGTCTTTTCATTATTAAGAAAGACCATATGTATGATGTTCCAGAGTGTTTATGTTCTCAGGTACTACTGTGAAGTTTGTCTTGGAGCAGGATAAAGCTTCCTTTATTCGATTAATTGGTATAAGTGTTCTCCAAAGTGCTGCATCTTCTTTCATTGCACCTTCTATAAGGTAATCTGGCATTCACATGAATTGCAGGAAACAGATTAGCTCAAATGACTTGTGTCTTCATTGCTCCTTCCATGACTTAATACTTTATTATTATTATTATTATTTTTTGGGGGGTGGGGGGTTGTTGAAATAAGGTATTTGATCATTAGTTTATGACTGGATAAATGGACATCTCTATACTATTGGCATATTCCCATTCAATTCATTGGTCAGAGAATCAAGTGATGATTCCATAATGAATGCTTGAATTTCTTCAACAAATTGATCTTAGATGTTTGTAAAATATTTCTATGTTATTATGCCTAAACTTAGATAATCTGCTTAGAATTGTTCATTTATTAATAATATACATAACTACTGTTTTGAAATAATCCTTATGATGCAGCTCAACTAACTACCCTCTTGTGTTGACTTTACATCCCATTAATTTCTATATTCTATTATTCCTATGTTATTGATAGCACTTAAAATATGAAAAGTTTAGATAGCTAAATAGATAGTTCAAAGTATTGCAATGGATTGAAGATTGGATTGGTTGACCTAACAACAGTCTTTCAAAAAGTAAATTTAGTATGCTATTGGTTGTTCTTCAGACACTTGACTGCCAGGCTAGCCCTTGGTGGGCGGATTCGTTTGACACAACATCTACTCAAGAACTACTTAAGAAGCAATGCTTTCTACAAGGTAACTATTCATAAAATTCCATGACTTAACCTCTTTTGTTTTAACAATGTAAGCTTGTTTTGTTTCCATGTCTGTGCTTGAATAATTATTAGTTAGTGATAAATCACAATCAAGTATTGTTTTTTATTATTGTATGTGGAACCTTTTATCAAAACCATTTTGTATCTCAGGTTGCTATTATTACATTATACTATTTCCCCTTCAAATTTAACTCAGTTTTCAATTCCAATCCTTTACCTCTTTATAGTTCCATGGTTTGGCTTTTTTATAATATTTTATAAAAAAATATTTATTAAAATATTATTATGTTCAAACAATTTTTTTGTCTGTAGGTGCTTTTTGCCACATCATAACACAAGTCTTGCCTCTTGTAGGGTGAGACTATTTTTAATAAAAAAATTGAAATTTGAATTTGAAAGTGGCGAGACTCAAGGGATCTTGACACAAGTCAATGTAGATGGCAAGACTACTTTTTTTTTTTTACAAAAAAATTGAAATTTGAATTTGAACAGCTAAAGTTTAACTTTGCCACATAATGGAGAAAAAAATTGAATTTGAATGACTGGGGTCATAATCACAATTTTTAATTATTTATTTACTACCAGCAAATTACTACAACATCTTAACTTTTCTATATCTAAAAGCAAAATGTATATTAGAAATTATACAAAAAATTAAATTATAATTTAAGTTTAAATTTTACTAACCGTTTGTTGAACAAAATCAAGATTTTTGCCAGCAAAATGAAGATTTCATCCAACTGAAAATAAAATTCAATTAATTTTAATTAAAGTTATTAATATATCAAAATTTGACAAAGTTATACCTCAACCATTCAAATTCAATTGTTTTTTTTAAAGTCCACCACAGGAGATCCTAACATGTGTCAAGATTCCCTCAGGTGGCGAGACTACTTTAAAAGAACAAAAAAAAAAAAAAAAAAAGTCTCACTCCTGCAAGGGGAATGACTTCTGATAATGAGGCTAAAAACACTTAGAAAGAAAATTGTTTTGAAATAATAATATTTTAATAAATAGTTTTAAAAAATAATGAAAAATAAGAATGCTTCCATGGTGTCTTCAACTAATATTCAATTAATAACAATATTTTCTCATTAAATATTTGGCAATTTTTTAAGAGAAAAAGGCATAGAGAATGAGTATTCATGCTTGGTTGGGGTAATGTAGATATTGTTGAGGATTGCATAGTATTAGATTTAGCCACAAATCATATTCTAATGAAATGTGGGAAATTCAAAAAGAATTAATGCTGGAATTTGACACTTCATACTCCATAGGGATTATATCCTAGTAATCTTACTGGTGTCCCATACCAAATTTCCCCATATCAATAGTTGAGAACATAGACTAGGTTTGAATTTCACAAGCAAAAAATATGTTGTGTTATTTTACTATTATGTTATTAATAATAAATATATTTAGGCATATAGCTGGGGCTTGGTTTCAAATTCATGTTACCTGCCTATCTTTGTAGGTCTTCCACATGGCAAGCAAAAATATCGATGCAGATCAGAGGATAACTCATGACTTGGAGAAGTTAACATCAGACTTGTCAGGACTGGTCACTGGAATGGTAAAGCCATCTGTGGATATTTTATGGTGAGTGGTTCATTTGCAAAATTGAGTTACTATACAGTCCTAACAATATTGATGCATGTTCTTTGCTTTTATTTACTTAACCAAGTACGCTTGTTATTCTAAAGGTTCACTTGGAGAATGAAGCTGCTAACAGGTCAGAGGGGAGTTGCCATACTCTATGCTTACATGTTACTTGGTCTGGGATTTCTAAGAACTGTTACTCCAGATTTTGGGGATTTGATAAGTCAAGAACAACAACTTGAAGGATCATTCAGGTAAACTTGTTCTACTATCTGCTGTCTCTGTCCAGGTGCTAATCAAATAGTGCGGTGGAAATTATTCTGATCTGTTTCTACTTTATGGTTGTCTTAGGTTCATGCATGAAAGACTTTGTACACATGCTGAATCTGTTGCTTTCTTTGGAGGTGGTGCTCGAGAAAAAGCTGTGAGCATCCTAACTTGATAATATTTAATGTATTTTCTTTAAGTGTGTGCTTGTTTGCAACATGGAAAAGTTGGACTGAAACTTCATGCTTTGTACAATAAAAATGTGGGTGGATTGAACTGGAGTGTCAATCCACCCTTACAAATTTTTTGGACGCCTGTTGCTTGAAAGTGAGTTGAAAGTAATTTTACCCTTAACCAAGCAATAAAGGGTGGCTAAGCTATCATTATGAGTAGAGAGGATGTTTGTGTAATAAGAACCTTGACCACCTGGTCGCTAAGCAGCAGCCATACCATTATGAAGAGGCTCATCATCACCCTTTGTCAAGCAATGAAGAGTGAAAATCAAAACCTCCTGTACCATGTTCAGTCCTCTCTTGATTTTCCATTTTCTCATTTTCCACCTCCTTCATTAAACATACAATAAATTGTATACATTTTTATGTATTTTATCAAAATTTTTTGTGATATTAGGCTCTAATATGGGAAAATGTAATTAGGTTTCAGCTAGAGGGAAAAGATCAACAAATTTAATTTTCTTTAGCCCCTTTTTAATAATGGCTGGACCACATTACTTTTAATCAGGAGCAAATTAAAACTATAGCTATTATCAATCTGTAAATTTTACTCTTTTAACATTGAGCAGATGGTTGAGTCTAGATTCAGGGAGCTTCTCACCCATTCCAAGTACCTTTTAAAAAAGAAGTGGTTGTTTGGTATCCTGGATGATTTTATCACAAAGCAACTTCCACATAATGTGACTTGGGGCTTGAGCTTGTTATATGCCATGGAACACAAGGGAGACCGTGCATCAATAACCACTCAGGGTAAGATATTTGTGTTGAGCCTTAATTCTGTATATTTCTTTTGTTGCTCTCTCCTCTCACAGACAGTAATATACTATACTTACAGGTGAGCTAGCACATGCATTAAGGTTTTTGGCATCTGTTGTTTCTCAAAGCTTTTTAGCCTTCGGTGATATTCTTGAACTGCATAGAAAGTTTGTAGAGCTCTCTGGTGGAATTAATCGGATTTTTGAGCTTGAAGAACTTCTGGATGCGGCCCAGTCTGGTATTTCATTATCCTTTAGTTTTGTAATCAATCCTATCGAACAATATCTTGTTGTTTCTATGGCTGTAACTGTTTTATAGCCATCACATGCTAATATGGCCTTCTACCTAACAGAGAATTTCATGAGTGTTAGTGCCACACCTCCAGTGAAGGGTATTCATTCCACAGATGTCATTTCCTTTTCAAAAGTTGATATCATAACCCCTGCTCAAAAGATGTTGGCCAGGGAGTTAATATGTGACATTGAGCACGGAGGAAGCCTACTTGTTACTGGTTGGTATAGTTATTTTATGTTTTTTTGTCCCTTTAGAAGAAGGATTTCTAATGTGATTTAAATTTCAATCTTACATGTCTCTTATTTTCAAAGGTCCAAATGGCAGTGGAAAAAGTTCCATTTTCAGAGTTCTTAGAGGACTCTGGCCAATTGCCAGCGGAAGACTCTCTAGACCATCTGAAGATGTGGATCAAGAAGCTGGATCAGGTTGTGGCATCTTCTATGTTCCTCAACGGCCATATACATGCTTGGGAACCCTAAGGGATCAAATTATATATCCCCTGTCCCGTGAGGAAGCAGAGGTTAAAGCATTAAAGATGTATGGAACAGGTAAACAAATATCTTGGGTGGAATCCCTTAGACATGACTTTAAGGGTAAAAATGAGGTTTCTGACTATACATTAACAGTAGCAAGCAGCAAAAGTTAATTTGATTTGATGCGACAAAAGTTTAAATTGCTGGTGCTGTTTTACTTTTCATTAATCACCACTAGCTGTGAATAAGTTCACTTCTGAGCTGTTCTACAGTTGAGGCAATTCAATGGAATGATGTGTTAGTTATGCTAATATTGTTGAAAATTTCTCGTTTCCTTACATTTTATTCTGGGGGAAAATATTACTCTGGTCAGTTTACTTTTACAGATCAATAATAATTTCTTGTTCTCTTCTCTAACTATTTTCAAGGGTTTATTTTATGTATTTTGCCTTTCCATTTTAACTCCTGATAATTGTAATCTTGCTAATTCAGGTGAAAAACATGCTGACACCAAAAATTTGTTAGACGCACGGTTAAGAGTTATTCTAGAGAATGTTCGGTTGAATTATCTCTTAGAAAGGGAGGAAGGCAACTGGGATGCCAATTTAAAATGGGAAGACATTCTTTCGCTTGGAGAACAGCAGAGATTAGGGATGGTACGTGAATCTAATCTCTTGCAATTTTAGACATAATATTTTAATTTTCTGGAATATTTTGCTTCGTATACTGTGGCCCTTGAAGACTTCAATTCCTAAAAGGAAGCCATTTATTATAATTTATGTTGTTCTCTTTTTTGGCTTTTAACATTGCACATTCTGTTCTTGTAAGGCACGCTTGTTCTTTCATAAGCCCAAATTTGGAATCCTTGACGAGTGCACCAAGTATGTATCATTTGCCTTTGCCCTTTTCTCTCCAGAGATACTGTTGCTTCTCTTTATTAACGTTATTTCATGTTCTAAAAAATAATGGCGTCAGTGCAACTAGTGTTGATGTTGAAGAACACCTATATGGACTGGCGAAAGATATGGGAATCACGGTTGTAACTTCATCACAAGTAAGTTGATTATATGAGTATATTTTAAAAAAAACACTGCCATTGTAAAATCAGTGAATGAGCAGTTCACTAATTAGTTGTTTTGAGCTTGCCTCTTTCCTTCATGGTGCACACCTATTTGATTTCTTTAGTTCTAGATAAACCAGTTATTAACTTCTCTAAACTTAAACATGCATATTAGCCATAGTAATGTGATCAAACTAAATATATTTGTTCTGGCCGCAGCGTCCTGCTTTAATACCATTCCATTCCATGGAATTGCGGCTGATTGATGGTGAGGGTAATTGGGAGCTTCGATCGATCGAGCATTGAGTTCACCATAGCAGTGTTGGTGCATGGACTTGGTTTAGTATTTGAGATGTTACGGACTCGGTATACAATTTGAGATGTTGTCGAGTCTTGCCCAAGTTGGCTGTTTGCAATGTTTGCCAATAAAGGTCAATTCTATATAATTTTATTTTTAGTTCACCACATTCTCCACGATTCAATGTTTACTCCGTTGACTTGAGCTGACAAACAAACAGCCCAAATTGTTGATTATAAGTTGGAGCACCAACCATTGCATGATCTCTGCAGTGTACAGTGATCAATTATGTACAGATCCCCCTCCCCCCTTCCCTTCTTAGGTAGTTGATTTTGATTCATATGTTGTAGCCATTGGATGTAATGATTAATATTTAATTCTTTTATCAATAAAACAGAAGGAAAGAAGAGAAGCCCTAAGTGAACTCCAGTTGTGTAAGATTTTTTTTAATTACTTTCTTGTTCTTTACTCCTGTGTGCCGCCGCCTGAATTGCTTTCACCCATCCCTTGGTGTTGCCTTCAATGTTCCGATGTGGCAATGTTGTATGAGCAATTTGAATTGCTCGGGGGACGAGAAATTTCCTTTGTAATACGAAACTTCCAAAAAAAAAAAAAAATTCAATACAAATTTGTATTGAATTAAACAGAAAACTGTTTTTAAAAAGAGAAACAAACACTCTAATTTTAGGTAAATTTTTGGAGATTGGGGCTAGAGGAAACCTAGTATTCTAATTAATTTTTCTAATGTGTTGCCAATGGCATAATAAAATTTATGCAGTCATTTTTTATTAAAAATTACAAAATATTAAAGAACTCAATGTACTGATAATATTAAATGTTATAATTTTTAATAAAAAAATAATATTTATATATATTTTTATTATATATCTTTAGGTACATGTTAGAAGATCCAATTTTAATATTGAATTGGATCTTTTAGCATACAAAAATTGTCCTTGTTTTGGCTAATTGAGTAACCAGTGATTTATAATTTGAATTATAATGTAACTTATGGAGACATTTTATTATTTTTTTTTACAATTTAATTATGTATTTGATGCTTCATTTAACATGTATTGTGTCATTAAAACAAAAGCAAAACTGAATAATCAATTTAATTTAAATTGTAAAAGATTACAGCAGTGTGGTATTGTATTCAAATACTCCAAAATGTAACTTTTTATAATCATGATTTTACTTAAAATTTGATTGAACTTGTACTATAAACACCCTTCATTAATAGAAGTGTCAATGAATAGACTAGATTTAGATGATCATATTATGGATATGTCTCCTTAAATACTATTATGTCATGATAAGGAGAATTATATCTCATAAATAAAGGAGAGAAAGTTGTATATCTAAACTTTGAATGTTATATTAAATAAGTAAAATCACATCTCATGTATTATATTTGGATAGTCTAAAATAGGAAAAAAAAGAATTAGAGAAAAATAAAATAAAAGAAGAGATATCATATTAGAGAGATAAAGAACAGTGAGAAAGTAGAAAAATATTATCCTAACGAGGATAAATTTTAACTCGTATCTTTCAAGAATTTGAAGATAATAAAGGGAAGTTGGTTAATTAAATTAAGATCTTTCTTGCAACATAACAGTTTTAAAATAGTTGCTAACATTTAACATGTTTCGAAAGGCAAGAGGGTGACGTTTTTGGGTGAAGGGTTTTACCTTCCAAAAAGCTTGGTTTTATGGCCGTAGTTAGGTGTAACTGTACAGTGATGCAAAGATTGCAATGGATCATGTTGTGTGGGGGCAGCTCAAGTTGATAACTTCTTCCCCTTTTTTATGCTTAATACCTAGCATAAAGAGAAGTAGTTTTTTTTATGAAAAAATAAAAGAAAAAGAGAAGCACTTTGCTAACTAAACAAAATATATGGTTATTTTGCGCTCTTAATGTAGTTATACTAACACATAAACACATGTTCCAATGCATTGTATTCAAAACAAAGATTTTTTTTTCTTTTTCCTAACTTGGGTTTTTGTTTACGGTGAAAAATGACAATTTGTAAACAAATAATCCAAAGATCAATCTTGAGACTGGATTTAGGTCATCTTTGGATTCTTTTAAGTGTGTTGTTAACGTGATGCTCAAATTAACGGCGTAAAAGAGTAAGCAAGAATAGGGAATAGTAATTGTGCAGAATTGAATCAAACGTAGATGCTTTTACAAAAATGTAGTAAACAGGAAATAAAACAACGTACAAAGATATAAGCAACAAGAACTGAAATTAAAATGCAGAAAGGTAAATGCGGGAATGTGAAGGTACGTGAATGTAAACGTACGACTCCTAGCAATGAACAACAACGACAGTAATGTTTCCCTGTAGCTAGTGTCTGGCGCGGTGCAGGGTTTAGCATCTCAGAGAGTTTAAGTGCAGTGTCTGGGTGTAAAAAGTCATCCTTTGTAGAATGGTGCTTTGGGGTATTTATAGGCAAGAAGATCACTACCGTCCTCCTCCTTTTGCGGGCACTTTTTAGTAACTGCTTTCAACTGTTATGTCCATTATCCACGATTATTTGTGATCGTGCTGTCGGTAACTGCTAGTAACCGTTATCACCCACGATCTTTTCTTTGCATAGTTGAACCTTTGCCCAGTGTTGGTAATTGCTAATAACTGCTTTTGCACTTAACCTTTTAAGTCAATTTTTCTGTCTTTCGAGTTATTTTGGGAGGGTCTTAGGAAGCTCATTTAGTTTATGGCCTTAAAATAATTTCTCCTTGCCTTCTCTTTTCGACTAATTCTGGAGTTTTAAGAGCATGTCTTGATCTCATGGACTTAGAATATTTTCTTTGCTCATTTCTGTTTCTCGAGCAATTTTTGGAGTTTTGAGAGTTTGTCTTGGTCTTGTGGACTTAGAATATTTTCTTTGCTCATTTCTGTTTTTTGAGCAATTCTGGAGGGACTGGAGCTCAGCCATGTTTGTGGACTTAGAATATTTTCTGATCACTTCCCGTTTTTCGAGTAATTTTGGAAGAAATTTGGAGCTTAACCAAGTTTGTGGACTTAGAATATTTTCTGACCACTTCCTGTTTTTCGAGCAATTCTGGAGAGACTTTGGAGCTCAATCAGGTTTGTGGACTTAGAATATTTTCTGACCACTTCTTGTTTTTCAAGCAATTTTGGGTGTCAAGGACTTGGAAACTCCTCAAAACGCCTCGAAAAGCCATCAGTTTTTGTGGACTTAGAATATTTTCTTGTCAGTCCTATTTTTCGAACAGTTTTGGGTGTCAATAACTTGAAAACTCATCAAAACTCCTCGAAAAAGCCTTTAGTTTTGTGGACTTAGAATATTTTCTTGTCAGTCTTACTTTTCGAGCAGTTTTGGGTGTCGGTGACTTGGAAACTCCTCGAAAAAGCCTTTAGTTTTGTGGACTTAGAATATTTTCTTATCTTTCAAGCAGTTTAGAGAAAAATTAATAATGTGACAAAAATCTCCTAAAATAGTTTGAAATGTGTCCCTTTTAATAAAATTAAAGGTCTTGGATAATCTTTCAATATTTCCTTATGTTTAGACCTATTTTTTGGCTCCTTCTTAACTCTCAAAACTTGTTGAAATGTAATTTCTCTCAAGATGATTTTTAACTTTCCTTATTCCAAACAGTCTTTAACCTAAAAAAAACATAAATTTAATTATTTTCACCTCTCTTTTAATGGAGAGATTAATTATGGGAATTTATTTTTTGTAGGCCTCACTATTCTAAATTCTATTCTCTCAAGTTTTTTAATTACGTCCAAAGAAGAAAAATTCGCTTTTTTTTCACTCCAGATCACTCCCTTCTAATTCTTTCCAAACCAATCACAGTTTGAATTATCTAAACACAAACCAATTCTTTAAAATCAATTTTACTAAAATTAATTCTAACAATATTTAAAGCATACAAGCCTTATTTTAAATGCAAAAAATGATACGCAAACCAAATACATGTAACGGTGTTTTCTATTTATTTTTTTTGTACTTTTGTACCTTTCGAGACTGCAAGTCTGCAAGCTACGCAACATAACACTTAGAGCTTTCAAACTTCTAGAAGTGATCATTTATTTTCTGTACTTGTGTTTCATGACTATAATGTGTTTCATGACTCTCAGAATTATTTAGGATTTAGCATGTAAATCGGGTCGTATATTATAGCTATATAAATTTTGACAATGCTAGAAAGACATATTGTATTCCATATTTCATAAAATCTTAGCGTAACCATACTTTTTATTAAAATTTTAGCATCTGATTTTCACTTAAACACGTTCGGTATACAAATACAAGCAAAATTAATGAAGCTAATAGCTATCATTCGGTAACAGTCAGGCCCTACAATGTCACCAAAATTTCTTTTGATCATTCACCCGAAAGGACCTCTCCTAAAATGACGCGTGAACGATCATTTGTTCTCCCCCTTCCTTAAACTTGGCTTTTATTATTATTATTATTATTATAACGACGCGTAGTTAAAGAACATTGTGATACAATTGCTGTAAAAATTTGTCAAAGTTTAAATATAATTATTTTTATTATTAGATAAATTAAAGCAATGACAATGGCTCACGTATTATCAATAACTAAGAATAAAACTAATTCATTCATATACTAATTTTCTCTGAAGGCGCACACAACAGTTTTCAACACATAATATTTCGCCACAGCTACAATGCTTCGTTGAAGAAATTTCTTCAGTTTTGAGCTTTTTCCTTTCTTTGCCTCACAGTTTCATTAACTATCATAAAATGAAACAATTGCATGTAATATCATATATAATTTTTACTATACATATATACCTAAAAACCAATATACCAAAATTAAATAAAGACAACTTTTATTGTCCTTCTTAGACTTAGATGTACATAAAACATTTTTCCTTTGTCTAATCATTCAAAATCCACCCTGAATTCACTGCATGAATTAATGAGTTTGTCAAAATATAAATATGGTGGAACACCCAAATGCAACAACTTTTGCCAAATTTGCGGTGGTCCCGTTAAATCCACATTCGTTGAATTTTAAGGCCAACTTTATGCGTAGAATCGAAAAATAGATGCACATGCTCTCTCACTTGACATTTATATGAAAAAGTGTAGGCCTCACTCTTCAAAGGGATGGGTTGTTTATATTCCCAACTTGGTCTCTGGTAAATAACACTCTTAAGGAATATACTCTTTAAAACTTTTTTTTTTTCACTTAGCTATGAAACATAAGTGTAACATTTGTTTATTTTTAAGCAATTTGTACTAGTTTACCTCTAACATAGTTTATAGATCGTCTGTGTCGTTAAGGTTTTAATTTATGAGGGTTAGCATCTATCAGTTACCACTCTATTAGTTTCCATCTTAGCACATAATTACCAACTACAAATTGGAAAAACATTAATTGCTAGCTGTATAATAACCAATATTGATTACTTGATAGACAATTGAAAGTAGAAGGGTAATTGCCGTTAATGTTGCTGGCGTCTATCCATACCATGATTTTCGTCCCATTGCACCATCAACTGTTAATTGAGTTCTATTATTTGTTTCACTCTTTTTTTTAACAGATATATTGCATTTTTTTTTAAAGAAAATAAATTTTCCTAAGATATGGAGTTTCTTTTTTCGAAAGAAGGTTTTTTTTTTTTTTACCTTCATCAATATTTGCTATCTATTTTTGCTTGAAAAGTAATTCTTAGACGTCAAATCTACTCTTCTTAACAAATATTGCGTTGAATTAAGTCTTGATTTGGAGTTGAGTGGATATTTTTTACTACAATTTTATTTTATGACCTTGATAATAAGATTGAGTGGCCTTTTCGACAAATTTTTTAAAAAATTGTAGAAAAAAATGTGTGTTTTTATTTGAAAAGGAAGAGACTTTTTTTTCTTCAAAATATTAGATAAAGAGATATTTTGATGAGTTTCATATATATATATATATATATAACCTAAAAAAATGACTTTATTTTAACAAGTTCTTTGTGTAAAGTATAACAAAAAATATTAACCTTCTAGTAAAAGAAAAAAAATTATTTTAATGAATTTTTTTTTTACAAACTCATTACTAGGGATGAAAATAAATTAGGTTAAGCTAGACTTTGCATAAATAAGTTTGACTTGTCTAATAATTTTAAAGTCTAAGTCTGACCTATTATTTATTATAAGTTTTTTATTTAGGCAAACTTAATATTTTTAAAAGTTTGATTTGACTTATTAACTTTTTTAATGCTCTACTTTATACCGAGATATTCAATAGATTATTAAATTTTCTTATAAATAGATTATTAAATTATTTAAATAGGTATATCTTTTAAAAATTATAAGGTTTATATCTAAATAAACTATTAAAAAATGATTCAACACCTTGAATATGTATAATAAAATTATATATTCATATTTATCATTTTCAAATCACATATTTAATTTAAATAAATAAATCACTATATATACAAAAAATATAATAAAATAAAAATAAATTTAAAATCATTAAGCAAATCTAGTAGCATAAAGTCTTACACCTTAAATCAACAAATACAATCTAACTAAATAAGTTTTATACCTAAAATTAGCAAATGCAACAAACAAAATGCACAAATAATTTTTTTTTTCATATAAGATATGCAAAAAAAGTCAGCAAGTAAAGCTCTCTCTCTTATAGAGCATGTAGTAGATATATTTTTCAACTCAAACAAAAAAAATTAGGGTTTTTAATTTAAAATTTTATTATTTTAAAATTTAATTGATTTAATATATTATTATAAATTTTATGAATTTTAAATAGGTTATTCTAATAGGTCTAATAGGTTTTTTTCTTAAACTCAAGTCTAACCTACTTAATTAATTAAATTTTTTAAAAATTCTAAATTAAGTCTATTAATTAAATAGACTAAGCCAGATTAAATTTTAAAAAGGTTAAGTCATAAGCCCTTTTAGATGGCCTAACTTATTTTTATCTCTACTCATGACTTTTATAGGTTATAAAGTGTTATATCTCAAAAGTGTTAAAAAGGTACCTTAAAAAAATATTACAATCATCAATAAATGTAATTATGAATAAGTCAAAGAATATTTTGTTAAGAGGATTTGATTCAAGCTATTTATGATGGTGAAGTATCTTAAGTACAAATAATTCATAAAAGAAAGATTTTTATAAAAATTCAATATATTAAAAGCAATTATTAACCATTTTAGGTAAAAGCACATGACAAAGATCATGGAGGATATGCGATAGTGGTTAAACTTGATAGAAATAGATTAACAGTACTTTCTCTCAACTGAAAATTGTACAATTTTTTTAATTGCAATGTACTTTCAAATTGAAATTCTTCAATCTTTTTGTTTGTTTTTAATTTTTCTTTGTTATTCTTCTTCTTCTTCTCTTTTTCTATTTCACTTGAAAGTCACTCGTTTATGTTACTAATCTCACTAAAATATACTATAAAGAATCTATTAAGAGTATTTAAAATTTAATTTCTAAATTATTTTTGAATTTATTTATCTGTTGAAAAAATTATCATAAATAGTATTACATTTATTTGTATTATTCATTATTATTATTATTTGGTATCACATCGCACTTAAAAATTTAGAACACCATACAATGTCTCTCCTCATGTGTCCATAAAGCACGTTCAAAAAACATTTCTATTGTCAAATAAGGTTATGGCTTATAAGAGCCAACGGGGGCGTCTGAATACTTTATGCATAAATTTAAAAGAAGAAACATATTTATCATTATACCTCCCTTCCAATATTATCAAAAACTACTGCCCACACGAGGAATTTTAGACAATATCAGTCATTAATAAATTATGACTTATTATATTTATACCAAAAAGTTTTACGATAAATTTTAACAAGACAAAACTGTGTTAAATTTATAAAAAAAATTCAAAATTTAATATTACTTTTTTTATACCACAAATATTTTCACAGGATATTAATAATCAGATAAAATCACTTAAAAACTCTTTATTATTCTTATAATATTTGTAAAATTTTTTATAAATAGATTTTGTAAGAATATAATCACTCTTAATAAATTTTTAAATCCCCATAATTTTTTGCATCCTTTTATGTCTCTACTAGATTTGGTAAGATTTAATCCCTAATATTTACTCTATCTAATCCGCAAACCCAAATTTTAGTAGTCAATATAAGAGACATTTGAGTATGTTCTTATATTATAAGAGAGTGTATATATCTTTATATTCAGAGAAAATAACGTAATTTTCTCTATTTAGTGAAAAAGTTTCTACTCTTGTCCATGAACTTTTTTCAGAGTTTTTTCCTTTAAACATTGTGTGCCACTTTTTATTTTCTCATTTATAATTTTAATTTCTTGATATTTTCTATTACACTAATATTTTTAAGCATATTCTTACCATAAAATTATTCTCATTAAATAAATTTCCTTACTGTATAACACGCAAGTACTATTCAAGTATAAATGTAAGAAATATACGATCACCAAACGCTGATTAAAGTACCCTTAAAGTCAACTTCTATTTTTACTCAAAACGAAATGCTTTTTTTGTGGTTTCTCATTGCATGTATTAAAAAGTTACTTAAGTATAACTTTCCTTAAGATGAATCAAGAAGCTACTAAAAATGGAAGTAAAAGATGTTCTGGCGTTTTACGGCTATGACAGTAAGAGTTACAGTAATCTATTTACTTGACCAAAAAAAGGATAATATTAAATTGCTAGAAGGAGATAATTAAGAAACAAGGGATAATTAATTGTTAGCTACGTTTATAAACAAAACTTTCGGCAAATTGGAAAGAGAAATTGACTTGTATCTAGCTCTATCACCCTAAGAAGGGAACGTTTAAGCTACTCATTTAGACATATACCCACCAATTATTAAGTGTTGATATAGTGGTCAAATATCATAATTAACAACAGATTACAAATTCTTTCTCTCTCTCTCATCACTATTTTTTCTCCATAAGTTTATGTGTTGTCTTAACGAAGCATAATTCCGAGAATGATCTATCATTATAGTTTGAAATTTTAATTAGTTAAATTATCATTTTTTCCAAACAAATACTAATTTTCTTTTTTAAAAATTGCCCATCTATACAAGTAACACACGCATACTTCACATGAAAAATTCAAATACATAATAATTATAAAAGAACTTGTTAAAGTTATTAAATCTCATCATAAATTATAATTAATTTAATTTAAATTATAAATTAAAATAATCTCAATTTTTTATAAGTCAAATATATTTAATAAAATAATTTCAAGTTAGTGTTTATAGAAGTATTGAATAAAAAAATTACTATAACTTTAGGAAGTTTGTGATTTGATTTGGTTCAGTTTCATTTCAGACACAATCTGAAAAATTGAACCAAATGGTATAACACAACGTAGTGTTTTTGTTTTTACTTTTTCAATAAATGATATATTTGAAGTTTTGAATTTTTAAATTGATTTAAGTGGTATCTAAAAGAGTTTGTACATAACTTCTAAAAATAATTTACGATTCTTCTAATTTATTTAGTTTATTTTAATAATTTTTTATAAAAATTAACAAGATTTTTAATTTATTCTAATAAATTTCGTAATTAAATTTATTTCATGAACTCTCATGTAATAATGATTTATTAAATAAATATCTGATTAAGCTACTTGTCAAAATACATCTTAAAATTTCTTTAAAATAATTTAAATTAATTATTAAGCATCCCCAATCAACACATGGTAATTAACAACAAATAAATAAAATTATGTGACACAAATCAAAATTAAAATCTTGGTTCCTTAGCGGATGGTATAATCCATTGGTAACCTCAAAAGTCCTTTTTTTTTATAAATAAAAGGAAGTGTAGGCGTATTCTACTAGGCAAAGGTAGTTATAAAAGGAAGTGGAATGAAACATTGTATCCAAATCTCTTGGGAGATTGTAATGATTCGTAAATTGTAGGTGGCAGTTGCAGTTGAAAATTCGAGAAAATGAAAGAAAGAAAGATAATGATTTTTTTATGGTTCGTTATCGTTGAAACGCATTTTCAAATCTGGTGAATAACATAACCCTCTCACCCGCGCATATCTCACTCACACTCACACTCACACTCACACAAACGCCATTTCTCATTCTCACTCAAAACAAACACACAAAATGCAGAGAAACACACCCCTCAGCATCCACACTTCAACCTCCGATCTCTTAACATGGCCCGAACAACCTCCGCCGGACTCCCCCGCCTCCGCTCACCGCTCTCACCAGGTCATACAATTTTTTATTTATTTGTTTAGTTTCTTCGATTCAATCTTAATTTCCTTAAGATATATAACGAGTTTGTTGGTTCTTTAAATGGCTCATCGTAATCACAGCCTTCCGATAAAATCGGCGAGGTTCTCCGCGGAATTCAGCTCACTGAGGAAGAAGCACAGACTCTGGCCAAAAAGTAATATCGTCTTTCTTTTTTTATTCAGTATTGAGTGTGCATTCAGATCTACCAGTGCTTTTTTTTTAACGATTTTTTTTTTCGTTTTGATTGCTTCTTCCTGTGATCAGATTCTGTTTTCCTTTTTGATCTGTTCTGTATTGTCGGAAACTATGCGTTTTTTAGTTAGTTGTTTATTTCGAGTTTTCCCTCCACTATTAATGCGAACGTGTTGAGAAGAAGCAAATCTTTGGTCTCCTGCATTCAGTTGTTGTTAATTGTTGAAATTCTGAGAATTGTGTTATGACAAACAGTTGACGTGAAATTCCTTGTAAACTATTTTTTTCTATGCTTAATCATTACTGATTTGTTAATGGAACCTCTCTTTATTGTTAGCCTAACTTTCTGACTGACATAATTGGGTGTATTAATCACCGCTTGTGTTTTTCATGTGCATGTATGTTTACTTATATTTATTGGTTTTTTTAATGTGTGTTCGCGACATATGTTTGAAAATGAATAAATGATTTTTTTTAAAAATCGTATTATTTAATATTATGAATACATTGAATTTTATAATATTTTGTGATCGTTAATATTATTATGTATAGATTCTTATTATGCCATGTTAAAAAGCCATAAATTTATTATTGTTATTTTTTGGCTGGAAATTGTCGGTTTAAACAGCAGCATTCTGGCTACAAGTAATTTCAAAGGTTATGTTATATGATATTCTTGTGTGTGTGTGTTACTCAGGAAACCATGCTCAGGATATAAAATGAAAGAGATGAATGGAAGTGGTATATTTTTGGCTAGTGAGGAAGATACTGCATCAGAAGGCAATTCTGCAAATGCAAACAACAGAACAAGCATACGTGTCTATCAGGTATACCAGATGGTTTACCTCCTTCCCGGGAGATTTGATATTTGACCATACAAATACGAATGTTTCTTAAATATCAACTCTGTTGTGATAACAGTATTCTTTGTTTTATTTCCCTGCAATTACATTTCAGCAAGCAATGAGTGGAATTAGTCAGATATCATTCAGTACTGATGAAAGCATTTCTCCAAAGAAACCAACCTCTATACCGGAGATAGCAAAGCAGCGTGAACTTAGTGGAACATATCAAAGTGAATCAGACACAAAGAGTAAGAAACAAATATCAAGTGCCAAGACCAAGGAGCTCAGTGGAAATGATATATTTGGCCCTCCCCCAGAAATTGTGCCTCGTTCATTGGCTGCTGCACCCGCTTTGGAATCGAAAGAAAGTAAAGGTGTGCGAGAACCTGTTCAACAAAAGGTGCAGGAAACAGCGAAAGTTTCTAAAGTAAGTGTCTTCTGGGCACTAAGAACAATCATGAGTCATCAGATTTATATTGGATGAATGGCTTAAAAATTTTTACATTGTTCTAATCCCGCCTTATAACATATACATGGCTATTCATAGTGATAAATTTTTATCTTTGATGGTGAAAAAACATCACCTTGTGGTTTCCTGAAAGGAAAAATTCAAATCCAGATCAAATTGTATAATTTTATGATAATATAACCCAAGGGTTATAATAGAAATATTGTTTGCTGCTCTTGAAGAATACCTCTCTTTCGGGGATGTAATTTTTAATCATAAAGTTTGTTCCTTCACCAAAACACGAGCATGTTATCTTGAGTTAGAGCCAAAAGGGCACATGCATTCTACTGGAAGAGGCAGGTCCATAAGTTGGTCGAGAGTTTCTAAAGTTTCCACATGAGGTTTCTTCACTTTAGATTTCCTTTTTTTTTTCTCCTTTTAAGATTTTTTGTTGAGGCAATAGATGTGTTTCTCTTGGTTTTAATGGAACAACCTTTTATATTTCCTGAAATAAATGTACATTCATCCATTTCTTTTTCATGTGTTTCCCCTTCAGCTCACAAGCTTTTTCCCCCCTTCTTATGATTACATTTTGACCTTAGTTTTATTATTGTTGTAGCCTGCCGGTGGCCAAATTAATCTCTTATTTGGTGAAGAATCAGTTAAGAAGACATCAAAGAAAATACATGACCAGAAGTTTGCAGAGCTGACGGGCAATAATATTTTCAAGGGAGACGTTCCTGTTGGATCAGCAGAAAAACCTCTAAGCAGGGCTAAACTTAAAGAAATGGCTGGGAGTGACATCTTTGCTGATGGAAAGGCAGAAACCAGAGACTGTATACGAGGTGCTCGTAGACCACCTGGTGGAGGAAGCAGCATTGCCCTCCTTTAAACTTGATGTCTAAATTGGTTCCATTTACGTGTGTGCGATCTTTAAATTCCTCTCAAGTTCCATCTTTGACTGAAAGAATCAGTGTGTTGGATTGTCAGCGTTGTATATTTACAGCATAACCCCTGACGCAGTATAATTAGTGTTACGATAAAGGGTGCAAATGGTTATTTATGTTATATACACAATCATATATTGGATTAATAAAATTGTTTTAAGATTTTTTTTCCTTCTGTATTAAGAAATTATTTACTATATCTGGTTTATGCTTTTTACGAGATAATGGTTTAGATGTATATTTGCTGATATATGGTAAGAAATTAACTATTATAGTTGCCTTTATCCATACCGACTTTTTGTGAAGGGCGGTAAGTATGATGTAGGAATAATTGATTCTTAGTACAGTCGAAAAAGACAAGGCAAATATTTTATTTAAAGGGGTAAAGCTCTATGTCTTGAATTTACGATCATATTCAAAACATTATTTTAAAAAGACCAGGACAATTTATACACCTGACAAGCATCATTTCCAGCAAGCCACCGATTTCCTCTGTCCAGAGATCCACGGCACAGAGGCTAACCAGCAATCCATGAAAACTGAGCAGAGTAAGAGCTCTTAATCATCATTTCCAGCCAGAGCTAGGAGAATGCTCTTATAGTCTCCAGAAGTGTCGTTGGCTATTGCCTGATCCAGAGGAACGCTATTTCTTCTTTGGTATTCCTCAGCAATTCGCTGCAAATCAACTTCAGCTCTGGTTGTCACCACTCTAGTAAGGGCCCATTCATCAGTTCCCAGTTTGTTTATAGCCAGCCTTAAGACTTTCTCATAATATTTCTCAGGGTAGGTCAAGCACCTAATGGTTGCCCTCAATAATTTCAGATATTCATCATTCGGATCAGTTTTCAGATCCTGCAGCAGAAGCCAATTGTAAGTTCGACTACAAATCACTGATTAATCTTATAATTGCTCAATGACAAACTCTATCGTGTCTTTCTTTTTAAAAGAAAGTAAAAAACCAGAATCATCCCATTCCCTTAAGATGTAGTAATTGATTAGTACAGGAATTCGTGTTTCTTAAAGTGATCAGTAACATTGTCGACAACACAAGTTCAGCACTGTGTCTGTGCAAGTGCTCAGTTGGTACTTGAGCATAAAGTAGATAAGTTAAAAACAGAGAAATAAGACTCATAAGCAGCCAAAACATTTATACCTTGGTTATGGCATTCCCAAACTCATTGTTGTAGTGATTTAGTGTTGCACTCAACTGTGCTTTACTTCTTGTTGTTAAAATCCTGATCATGTCCTCATGATTGTAGGCCTTCTCCGCAATCTTCTCATGAAGCAATTTAGCCTCAGATTTTGCTAATGTCATGTTCACCTCATCCCCCTCATAACGGAATATGCTCACAAGAGGAACCAATAGCTGTTATTGAAGTATCAAAAACAAAGTTTCATTAGGTAATAGGTAAAAAATGTTAGGTCTATACATAGCATAATAATGCACAAAACAAAAGTAAAGCACGTTGATTAGCTTTTAAATCTAGCAATTCACATGAATAGATATATCCATCCTCTCAAGGAGCACATATTTCTGGAACATATTTGTTCTTTGAACATAAATCTGTGACTCACTCCTAAGCAAAGGTTCTTTAAATTGAAAAGATTTGCATATTGTGGAAAATTTGGATTGATGAGGAAATGACATCAAACAGAGGCATCAATCTCTGAAGCCAATAATTCAAATCATTAAATAATCCAACATATGCAACGTCTCTCTGTCAAGAGATAAACAAGTACATTAGAAACTGCGTCTTCATATTACCTTGCGGATGTCACCAGAAGTATGATAGGCAACGTCTTCTTCAAGGGACCTTTTGAAACGGGCTTGATATGCTTGCTTTGCCTTAAAGAGGTCAAGTGAAGATCTAGTGGAAGCTATTTCCACAATGACCCAATTGCTTGAAGTCAACCTCTTAGTAGCTTCATTAGCTAAAAAGGCATCACGCTCAGCAGGATCCATTATCCACAACAACACAGCCCGCTTTTAGATTCAAAACATCAAACATTAGACAAGAAAAAAGCTTCATAACTGCAACTATTCATTTCCTTCAAGGTATAAATGCTTGGAAGTTGGATTCTAGAAGGAAATGGAGATGAACACATTTTATTTTTAAATTGTGTGAGTAGTATAATGTTTGTAAAATAAACAAAACATAAACACATTAAATTTATGGTGATCTATCTTTCTTTTATTCAAAAAAATCATCAAATTAGAGAATAGTTATTAGAAATAAAAATTTATCATGCCTTCGTTTTCCTCCAAAACCCGACTCCAACTAAACATACCCTTATTCAACAAGATCATCGGTATAGAACACTGAAATGGGGTACTAAGAAAATTGAAAACCAAATAATAAATAGCGAAATCGAAATTTCTGAATTCTGACAAGTGAAATGGGAGTCAAATTGAGATTTACATCAATAAGCCAGAAATCAATCGATTTAAACTGACCTCAAAGTCACTTGAAAGTTCTTTATCTAAATCTTTAAGAAGATCTTCTCCATAGGTTTCAGCATAAGTTTGGCGAATCAACTTTCGCTGAGCTGCATTTCTATGAGCAAGGATTGATATTATCAATCCTTCATTCGTTCCCCACCCTGCAAAGATACGTCACAGTGACAACAACTGGAAACAACTAGAGTGACCAGAGAATGAAAAAGGCCCCTTGCTATGACAAAACAAAGTGAACACCTTATTTGAGCACCTATGAATTGTCTGTAACCAGTTATTTACACTTATTCCACAGAGACTAAACATTACACATACAAAAATAAAAAGAAAAAAATCCTATGGATTACACAAGTTGCTTGTTAGTTATAACTGCATTAAAGCCACGTCAAACGTGTGCGCGAAACCGTTCCGTTTAGTTTTTACAGAAAGAAAACACGATTCGACAACATCGGCAAAAGGAGAAAATCAAAATCACTGAAAGCGAAATTTAAATTAAATAATAAAAAAACGAAATCAATACTCAATGATCATTGTCATTCATCAACCAGATATAACTAGCAGTGATTGCATAAACCAAACACAAACCACAGAACAGTAATGCATGCGTATAATTTGATCAGAAGCGCTACAACAAGTCAACGATTAATTCCGTGATCCAAGTAAGAGTTGAGAGAGCCATCAGCGTGATGATACATTAAAGAAACCGCAGAATCAGATCACGGACGCACAAAAATTTAAATCCAAACGACATAGATCGAGAAAATGCGAACAGATCACTGATCTAAAACAAAATTAAAGTCAAAGAAATGAAAGAGTGAGATTAACCTTGAAAAGCTTTTCGCAATTGCTCACTGTCTTCCGCTGGAGAAGGAACTTGAGCGGGAACCTTCAACGTTGCCATTGTCATAGCGTGTGTTCAGTGTTCACGATCTCTGTGTAGAATGTGATGTACAAAACAGAAAGGAGAATGAGAAGTTGGTGCCGGCTTAATCATTTATACCATAAATGGTGCGAACCTATTGCCTACCAGAAGGATAAAAAGAATTAGTAAAATTATTTCAATCATGAAAAAATTTATTTCATCCCTTAAAAATATATACATTAATTCAATTCATTTTTAATTATAACCTTGCTTTTTGATGGAAGTGTGAGAAACGTGATATCAGCTTCAAATATAGAAAACGTGACATTACTCACATTAGCTGTACCACGAATAATCACGGTTTTCCAATTTCAAACGACGTGTTCTAATTTGCAGACGAAAATAAGTACACTCACGTTTATATATTCACTATACTGTTTGAATATATTTTTCCCGTGTAAATAATTTATGAATTGTAATTTCTTTATAAATTGAGCTCATTTTTTCCTTTCGTTATTTGCTGTAACTTAGAGATATATTCAAGAAGAGAGAGGATAGTTGTGTTTGAAAAAAAACCAAAAAGAGATTTAAATAAATGTGATGATAGAATAAAAAATATTAACTGTTCCGTACCCTATAAATTACAATAAAAAATAAAAAAATAAAATTTAATAAATAGAATGAAATACTTTTTGTGAGTGTTTAGAAGAACTTCTTGACAACTCATTTAATTTTATAAAAATAACTTGTAATTTCTATAATTTTGTTGTGCTTTTTTTAATAAGGGTTTTTTTTTTAAATCAACATTATGATATTATATTGCTTTAAATGATCATGACATTATAATGTTATAATATTTTATTTTACTTTGTTTCATCCACTGATTCAAAGATACAAACTCTTCAAGTACTTCTGAAAATGGAACAATAGTGTTGTTTTTCTAAAGCAAATGAACAATAATATAGCATGATAATTATTTTAAAGTCTACTTCTCAAAAATGTAAAGTACATTTAGCAATAATTATTTATTGAAAACTAATTATTAAGATTATAATAAAATTACTTAAATTTGATAAATTAATTTTTTTAAAGATTATTATTATGGATTTTATCTTCTAAAGAGTGTGAAGTTAAGGCTAATTTTTCCCTTGTTGATGAAATAATTGATGTGGATGGCATTGCCTCGTTTTTCACAACAGGCCTAAGACAAATTTTATAACAAAAAAAAAATAATGCAGTGTGAATGATATATTTTAGAATTTACAAATTCAATAATATTTTCCCATTTGGCTTTTTAACTTGACGATTAACTACTTAGTAATAAATTAAGGTAAATTCTGGGATATTCATAAAAAAATTTCAGAGTATCCTACATAAAAAATTTTAATCAATAATATTTAAACATGTGTTTAAATAATAAATTTTTTTAAAAATAAATTATAATATTTATTATATTTAAATAAATTAAAATTTAAAAATAAAATAATAATATTATATTAATATATTTTTATATTTTTAATTTATTATTATTAATATTTAATTATTAAATTAATATATTATTTATAATTTATTTACAATAAATAGAAATTATTTAAATATAAATTATATTTTATTTAAAATTAAAAAATTATAAAAAAAATTAATATACAATATATATATATATATATATATATAATAAAAAGTTCATGTAGCAAATAATATAATTTTAAATAAATTATAAAAAATAACATTTTTTTAAACTTGACACGTATTTTTTTTTATTAGTATAAATATTTTTAGGTACGATATTTAAAAAAAATAAATTAAGATACTACAATATATATTATAAATTAATATATCTTTTTTTTGTTTGATATCATTTTCAATTTTATTGACAGTTATTTACAGATTAAAAATCATTTTTTTTTATTTTGTTTTTAAGACTTAAAGAAAGCAATTATCATGTTTAGTTAAAAGTTTTTGCTATTGATGACAAATTAATCATAAAATTAATGAATTATTGTGCTTAAACATTCATATTAGTAAATAACTTTATGCTTACAGTTTGTAATATGTCTTAAATTTTGTATGGCTTATAAGTAGGTGTGGTGTTATTGTGATAATATTTAGTTTGACCTTTTTTATAAGAAATAAAATACTAAATTATCATATTAAGGAAAGTAATTAAGTTTGTTATGTTTTCTATAAATATAAATTTTATTTTAAAAATATTTATGATATTAAATGGTATAGTTAGTAATTTGTATATTTAATGATAGTAATAAAAGAAGTATATAAAATTTTTTTACCAATTAATGCATTTTAAATCTATCATTTATTTCTTATAATAAGGATTAAGAGAATGTTCTATTTTATTTCTTATAAAAAAGACCAAAAGGAATAATTATTCTACAATGTTAAATAGAAGGTCATATTACTAAAAAAGAAAATATATATACTGTTAAAAAAAGAAAAAAAACAAGTATTAATTTAACCAATAAGAGTACCCATGATCACATGAATATCATGTAATAAAATTCAATCATCAATTAACCTGTAATAACTTGATTTGTCATTCTGTGGAGTTAATTTTTGTATTCTTTATCACATGAATTCAAGTTTAATTTCTCCTTATATTTATTAGTTTTAAATATTAAATAGATTTTCTTAATTCATATAATATAATATTATGTATCCTTATTAATACAGACATTTACTAATTTGTAGTTTTTTTTCTATAATTTTTTAAATGAAATATGTTTGTTTAGATAAAAAAAAAATTAACTATTATATACTAATAATATTTACAATTTATTTAACATTATCATCTAATGATGAGTTATTCTTTATTGAGAATTGTTAACTTTAATAATTATTGTTTTAAAAATGAATTCTGCATAATTTTTAATTGATAGATATTATACATTTTTATACCAATAATATATATCAAAACTAAATTTAAAAAATAAAATATAAAAGATTAATTTTTTTTTTATAATAACTGGGACTTAACAGTCTAGGTAGCTAATTTAGGAAACCACTTGGAATTCAACGCTATAAAATGTAAAACCGACTCACTGGGGATCGAACCCAGAATCTCTGGTTCCGTAGACCAGCGCCTTATCCATTGGGCCATGGAGTCCATTTGATAGTCATTTTATGTATGAATTATACATTACCATCTATCAATTTTTTTACATAGCAGATATAACGAAATAAAGTTTTAGCATGTTTTATTATTTGAGTTACCTAAATCTAAATTAAGATAGATAGATAGTGTAATATATATAGTTATAGTTATAGTTATAGTTATGGATTATATTTTGAATTTATGTTTACAATTTTTTTAAATGTGTTTTCAAACACACAAAATGGAATAAAATCAATTTTTTTTCTAATTAAAAGGGTGTAAGATGTAATTAGGATTATTCTATTGTTATACTTATTAATTTTTTATTTTTACCCTTTTTAATTTAAAATCTTATGTAGTATTTGTTCTAAAAAAACGAAAAGGAGAGAATTTGTTTATATTTTTTATATTTAGTTCAAAATTTTAGAGAAAAATAGAAGAGAATTAAAATTTCTCATCAACTAGTTTTAACTCTCTCAAAAATGAAGAAAATTAAAAAAAAAATTTAAAATGTTCTTAACTCAATAATTTTATGTCAATGTCTTACGCATATAACATAGTAATTTTTTTCCATTTCTCTTGTTGGTGTAATCTAAATAAGGTATTTATTTTGTTTTTCCTGTATTAATTTCCATTCCTTTTTTCTACAAAACAATACATAATATTTTAGTTTTATAATATATATATATATATATATACATACTTTAATTCATGCAAGTTAGCAGGATTATTGTAAGGAAATACTCAAACATTCAAGTAAGAAAGGGTTTTAAGGTAGGTTCTTTTATGTAAAATAGAAAATGAGTAACATCTTTTAAATTTGTAATTTATTTATCTTATACAAGCATTTGTGTTACTCTTTTATTAGGGTTTTTGTTATTGCCTTGATGTAGATCACTATGCCTTACATAGCAGTGAATTGACATTTGTTATTTGCTTTAAGCATGTAAGCTGCTGCCGTGATGTGATAGATATAGTGGAGTGAGGATGCTCGTTTCACCACAGTGGATGTTGATGATGAGAATCAATAATGCTATTTAAACACCCAGCTTTGTCTCTCATTTGAGCGTGATACTGTGTCACTTCGTCTCTTCCACTTTTCCTCTCACACGTTCTTTGCGTTTCTTCTTTTTCGTTCTCCTCCTCTCTCGCGGCCTGGATATTTGGGTGTTATCTCTCATTTGAGCAATTTATAATGTCACTTCGTCTCTCCCACTTCTCCTCTCACTTGTTCTCTATGGGTTCTTCCTCTTCTTGAACAAATTCAAAAAACAAACATTTGAGGAGCGAAGCTATGTTGTTGTTGTCCTTCTACAACAAAAAAAATTTCTTTCTCACTCTCAGGGACTATTCATTGTTACGTGACTCTTTCTCACTTGTTCTGTGCGGGTTTTTCTTCTTCTTCTTGAACAAATAAAAAAAACAAAAACATTTGAATCGCAAAGCTAAGTTGTTGCTGCCTTTCTTCAACAAAAAAAAATTCCTTTCTCACTCTCGAGGACTATTCATTGTTGCATGACTCTCTCTCACTTGTTCTCTACGGCCTACTCCTAGGTATTTTTGTATTGACCCTCTTTCGAGCTTTTGTGTTGAAGATAGGTTGAAATATTGGTTGGGCATCAGTCGTTTGCAATATTACAGGTACTTTTAATGTCCTTTTCTTTGGGTTTTCCACAATGTTAATGAGTACTCTGAAATCATTTTAGATTCCTTTGTGGTAGCCTTATAGACAATGACATTTAGTGAATGTAGTTAATTTTATATATTAATTTAGTATTTTTTTTACCTAGATTCTAGTAATTTAGTGTATAAGCTAACGTTAAATCATTTTACATATGTTTTCTGTTAATCCTGAGTATGATAACAATAATGCTAATATTTTTACTACATAAAGATGGTTATTCATCATAAAAATATGGTAATTTAATTTTCAATTTGATGGTATTTGAATGTAAAAAATGATAATGTTGTAGGGTGTACACAATTTTTTTT